GAAACAAGAAAAAGTTGAGGGGGGCTTAAAACCCCTGGGCCTCGAGTAACTTCGTCCCTGCGTCACGGAATCCTATATCTTGATAAGAACTCCATGGCCATAATTTTGAAGTTGCTTAATATATATATATATAATTAGAAACAAGAAAAAGTTGAGGGGGGCTTAAAACCCCTGGGCCTCGAGTAACTTCGTCCCTGCGTCACGGAATCCTATATCTTGATAAGAACTCCATGGCCATAATTTTGAAGTTGCTTAATATCGTTTAAAAACAGTTGTGATATTTAAGGTTAGTTTTTGTACTAACATTAAATTGACCTAACGTTAAAAATGTGTAATTTTTAACATGTTCTTGACCAATTGCAAGCATCAGAAACGACAATTAGGACAGAAACAAACGACAGTTAGATCTTTCAAGACATCTCTATATCTAGCCTCAATTATAGTTCTAACATATTTTCAGCTTTTTTTCTTTTTTTTAGGTCCTTTTTTTCCATCTCCAGGACGAAGTGGTAAAAAGTTATTTAACCTAAAACTGAATTTATACAGTCAGTGATTCTTACGTTCTCTAAAATACGTACTTTTGAAGTTCAAAATAGCTTTCATCAAAAGGATTAGCTAAATTATATATCAAACAACTGCAATATCAATTAACCATCTGTAAATGCATATCCTTCCCAACAAAGAATTTGCCTACTCAAGGACTTTTCTCATCAATTCACAATCCAAGGATACCCCATCCACGACGGGAAATCACCTCCTACAAAAAGCAACATTACGACATTGAGAAAGAGGCTTAAGCATGTCTTACATGATATAAACGTTGATCATCCATGAAAGAGGTAGGAGAATAGAAAAAAAAAAAAAAACAAGCGAGACGAAACTCGTAGAAGAAAATGACTTGGAATTAAAATCCAGAATAAATAAATTTTCAGTCCCCTTTTTCAGGAAGAGCACATAATTCTCAATAATTTGAACCAACTGAATTAGGCACTAAAACACAATAACCCGAATCAGAACTACACCTCAAATGTGAAAAAAGGTGGGCTTCCGGACTAACCAAAACACAGCCACCACCTATTAATGAGCCCTACAGAAGAAAATTTCCCGAAAAAAAAAAAAAAAAAAGAAAGGAAAAGAAAATAAACAGAAAATTTTATTTCTGAATTGAACTATATATGTTACAAATCCTCCTAAAGGATTGTTGCTCATCTACTGACTAAACTTAGGACTGCGAGGTGGATCGTATGTTACGAATAAAAGCCACCAATGCAGCGATCAAGAAGATATATTCGATGTTAATCCACTCGAGAGAAATCTGATTCGACTGCACTGTTTTAACTTGGCTAGAGCTTCCTGCGGCTTACCATGCATCAGATTGATGTAAACTGCTGTCAAATTTGCTTCTGGACTGTTGGGTGTTAAGGACAATGCTTGCGACACAAACTGGTGTGCCAGCTCAAACTCGCCTTGCATCGCGTACAAGCTAGCAAAATTTACGTAAAGTGCTGCATGTGCCTCTTCAGGCTTGAGGAATACAATACCTTCTACATCCTGAGAGTAAGAATTCTTGGCGCTCGCCTGTCCTCCATTTAACTCCTCGCAATCTCCAGTCCGGTCCACCTGACCTCGCTCGCAGTCTTCTTGGCTGAATGGCAATTCCACATTTCCTTCCGATAAATATATCGATAAATGCTCAATAGCTTCCTTTTCCCTGTTCAGCAAGCAGAGAGCCTCTGCCGCAAAAATATGACCCAGAAACAAGTAAACTCTAGAACATTCTGGAAGTTCACACAGAGCTCTTGCATTCAAATGGGCCTTAATGGGATTTCCCAATTCCAACTCTATGTACGCCAGGTTAGCAAGAAGAGCTTGCTTGATCAACATATTCTCTCTCTTACATGTATCTTCATAAGAAGTGAGGGAGTTCTGAACAAGTTCCTGGGTTGTTCCCCCCTTTTGCTCTTTTGCATCCCCATTTGCATTAATCTGGCCTAAACTGACTGCAACTGTGGACGCCTTCAAGTCGATGTTCTGCAAGTTCTTGTGGTTTAAGTTCTTGGAAGATGCAATGTCAGTTGTATCATTCTCATCCACAGAGGAATTGGAAGGGAAAATAGACTTCAGATAGCTCAACTCAGAACCGTTCAACAGGAAAAGGGCATTATGAAGACACTGCCGGGCAAGGGGCAATGACAACTTTGGCTCCCCATCACTCCCCAACACCAAATCACCTCTCTCAAGATCCACATTTCCATTTCTCAAAATCCCATCTTCAAAAACAAGTTGCCTCCATTTTCCTTTGCCAATAACACTGATTCTGATTTCTGATCTATCTTGTGCCAGATTGGATTTTAAGATTCCCGTTTCTAAAGCCATTAGACAGCATTCTGCAAGTCTAAGCCACAACAGAGGCCGGTTGTAGAAAATCAAACCAGCCTTTTGAAAACAGCGAGCAGCAAGGAATGGTTTCCCGCAGGCCAAGTACTGCATTCCACAGTTGTATACAATGAGGAGGGAGTTATCCTGTGAAAAAGTTGACAGCTTCAGAGGCTTGTCCTTTCGGAGAGATGAACAATTGTTCAATGCCTTGGAAAAGAAAACTGATGATGTGTGGTACTTTCCAAGCTGATAATAAATGCATCCCAGATTATTGTGGAACATACTCAAAATTCCTGTGTCCGTCCGATTACTAGACGCCATCAACAGCTTGATAGCTTTTCGATGATTTCCACGAGCATATTCAAGCTGGGACTTCAATAGAAGAGCCATTGGCGAATCTCTCCCACGTGCAATGTTCATGGCATGCTTCACTTCACGTTTAGCTTGTTTCAAGTTTCTAGTTAGAAGCAGAAATCGAACTCTGTAAAGATGCAACTTAAGCTTCAGATCAACGGAAGAAATAGACCTGTCAACTGAGTTCCTCAAGATATCATTCGACAATGATAGACCAGTTGGCCGTGTCACGTCAATGTCAAATAACACAGGGTCATAATCAAGTGTTTCCTCTGATAGTGTTCTTGACAAGCCTTTTTCTGATGCATTGTTAGAAACTAACTCTGTGTTAGAAGCATCTGTGGCCAATGAACTGCTAGGAAGAGAGGAGGACTTCCCAACTAGGTTTGCAGGTTGTTGTGCCACACTACTTCCATTGTCACTTTGACTCGTACAGCTAACACCAAAAGCCTTTTCTAGATATATTAAAACATCCTAAACAAAAAAACATGGGAACCAATTAGGAGCTAAAGAATGAATTATAGACCAAAAAAACAAAAACAAAAACAAAAACAAAAAACAAAAAACAACACAAAACAAAAACAAAACAAAAAATGGAAAAAGTACTTAATACTTCAAAGCAAGAATCAGAAGCTTTAAAAATGATAAAAGAAACTTCTAGGTTAGAGATGCAAGTCATCCAAAATTTTTAACAAAATGGAATTAAGCACCAAACCATCGCAACTTTTGTTTTGCAATTTTTATATCTAACTCTGGCATGATTTGACAACACATATAAATCGTCTAGTAGTTGAAATGTTAAAAAAGCCCTAGCGCAATGCCAAAGCACATTTACATGATTATGAACTCAATGGGTGATGTGATCTAACAAAGCAACAACTTATTTGCCTACACAAACACAAAGTAGATATACAAGATGCACCGGGTTAATATAACAAAAATATGGCAAATAAAAAATAAGAATCATTTTCATAATATAATCGACACAATATAACATAAAATTTAGCGTCATTTTCAACTCCTTCAAAGATGCGTTTATTTCGTTCCAACCACAATGACCAGCATGTAGCAAGAACCTACATCTCTTACTCCACCCAAGGATAATTTAAATTATTGGGTAGCTTTGTGGACATTCCAAGATAAACAATTCACGGATTTGTCATTCTCGGATTTGTTTTGGGGTTGGGATCTCATTTTGTGTTAGATAGGTTGTGATGTTCTATGTTTTCATATGTTGAGTTTTTGTCTTTGTTGTGTGACGACTTCTTGTCCTCTGTTGTACCTTATTCTTATTTTTAATATTATCAATGAAGGTGTTTCTTATAAATATATATATATATATGTATATGTATAACATAAAATGAGTTTACCTGTAACAAAAACTGCTATATTGAACAGTTAAACTTCACCAAACTATTTTAAAGTATATTTAATAATATAACAACAACAAGGCAAATAAAAAATAAGAATTATTTTCATAACATACTCAATACAATATAACATAAAATGAACTAATCGGTGACAAAAACTACTATATTGAACAGTTAAACTTCTCCATATTTTAAAATAGATTTAATTGCCTTGAACTCCTAATCAAATTTTAACAGATAGTCTAGCTTTTCAACAGAGTGTCAACCTATTCTTTTTTTCCCTCAGAAACTCCAGTTATCAAATAATATTCCACATAACCTTCATATACTGCACAAAGTACTATAGATCAAACCGAGGGAATTGAGTAGCAATTAGGATGATAACAAACTTTTTATACCCATTCCCTTATATTCTACAAAAAGCAGACTTTGGGTTAAAGACTTCCAAAGTATGACATCTCCCTCAGATAAAATTTGTTCTTCCAAATCAAATTGACGTAGCAAAGATCATTACAAGGAAAATAAGAATGAGAGAACATGTATATTCTACTATAGGCTATTCTCCCAACTATAATCAAGTCAATCTTTCAAAAACTCCCTATTTCATTCAGTGTTCAATAAACCATTCATTCCTTTTCAAATAAAGTAAAAAGTTAAAAAAATAAATAAATAAATAAAATAAAACATTCATTGTGTATTCTACCTCCAAAAAGGAGAAAAAAATAAAACGGAGAACATTGAATTAATTCCTTTTTCTATGTATGTACCAATTTGTTTTAAAACTTGCGAACAGATTACCAAAAAATAAATAATAAATAATAAATAAATAACCTAACAACTAGTAGTAATATTCGAGGCATCAAATCATTGACCCCAGAAAACAAACAAAGCACAGCAGCATTGCACTTATGTGCTACAGTCAAATTTAAGTTATCCAATTTAATCTACTTAAGTGCTGCAACTTGTGCTAACCCAGTTGGTAAGGATGCAGTGGCTTTAAAAGAGAGATCCCGGGCTCCAATCCCGGGAGAAGCTAGCAATGTATCAAAAAAAAATCTATTGAAGGGCTGATATCTCTACTTAATGTATGATCATAATAAGAGGATTGCCAACAAAAGTACAAGACTTGGGGTTCCATACCGAGTCTCAATTTGGACCATGGGATCTCTCTTTTAAAGCCACTGCATCCTTACCAACTGGGCTATCACCAATTGGCAGCACTTAAGTAGATGATTAAATTGGATAACTTAAATTTGACTGTAGCACATAAGTTTCAAATATTACTACTAGTTGTCAGGTTTTTTATTTATTCTTTATTATTTATTATTTATTTTTTAGTAATCTGTTAGTGGCTTTAAAAGAGAGATCCCAGGCTCCGATCCTGGGAGAAGCTAGCAATGTATCAAAAACAAATCTATTGAAGGGCTGATATCTCTACTTAATGTATGATCATAATAAGAGGATTGCCAACAAAAGTACAAGACTTAGAGTATGTTTGGTAAGAAAGAAAAGTAGAAGGAAGGAAGAAGGTAGAGGGATTTTGGGAGAAAAAATGAAAATGTAGGTTGTTTGGTAGGAGAGAAAAGAGAAAGGAAGAGAAAATAGAGTGGAAAATAATACTTTCTTTCCACAAGTGGGCAGAAAATGGAATGAAAAACGGGGACAACTCATTAAAGTGAGCAAAGTTACTAAACTACACTTTTCTCCATCAACATCCAAGCAAAAAATTTAAGGGTATAAAAGTAATTTACGAGTAAGATTTTTTCTTTCCTCCCAATTTAACTTCCAATACCAAACAAGTGAAGGTAAGCTCATTTTCTTTCCATCTTCTCATACCAAACAACATAAAAGAATTAATTTCCTTTCCATCATTGCTATTTTCCATCACTTTCATATTTCCTTTCTATCATATTTTCTTTCCTTCCTACCAAACATAGCATTAGGGTTCCATACCGGGTCTCAATTTGGACCATTTCTATATTTGTGCGTGTCATCCTTAAATAACAGATAACAATTTAAATTTTATGTTAAGCAACAAAAATACAGAATTGACATTAAAACTTACGGCAGATTTGGGTGCATCGTGGCAAGCAAGCCCGGCATCCAGCAACAAAAGGCAAATATGAAGAGCTGTTGTCTGCATATATACAGCGAAAGCAGCAGTTAAGATGGCATTAGTACTTGCAATCAAAAATAGAAAAATATTATTTTAAATACATTTTCATGTACCTCATCTATTGGTCCAATATTTTGATATAAAGGCTCAAGAACTGATAATGCCTTCACATATTCATGAAGATGAAACCAGATAACCGCCTAGAAAAGTCCAAATATAACACAAACAAATTAATTAACCCAACATAGTGAGACACTTTATTTGGAAGCAAGGTGCCAAGATCTTCATTATTTAACCATGTCGCAATATAATGAACATACAATGTTTACGGTTGCAACACAAGTGTCAAATTCATCCATGTACATGATATTGGCACTACTAGCAGAAGAAAGTGGATGTGCCAATGTAGATGATTTAGACCCTGAAACAGTTTTACTTGCAAGACTACCACCAGCCTCCACTTGCTCTCCCGATGCTCGTGCAATCTCTTCACTTTGCTTCTAAACAAAAACAAGAGACGCAATGAGTAGAAAGGAACATACATATAATAAACAAGATTAATTAAGGAGACTAACAATGAAAATGACATTATGCTGGTCGTTTAACAATGCACTATGATGCAGGAGAGTAGATTGAAAGTAAATGAACAAAGCAACACAGTTCCCATCACGATATGACAGAGACGCAATGAGTAGAAAGGAACATACATATAATAAACAAGATTAATTAAGGAGACTAACAATGAAAATGACATTATGCTGGTCGTTTAACAATGCACTATGATGCAGGAGAGTAGATTGAAAGTAAATGAACAAAGCAACACAGTTCCCATCACGATATGACAAGGGCCACAAGAAAATGTTGTAGCTCTATATTATATCGAGTAAGGTAAGCTTAAATTATGTAATTCCCATATCTAAACCTATAATCCTACTTTCTAGGCTTCAAAGGAATGGCATACTAGAAGGTAAAGGGCACCATGTGTAACACCCCGAAGAATTAATTGAGATTAATTAAGGTAATTGAGATTATTAGTGTGCCTAATCTGAATTTATTAATTGATTATTAATAAATAAATGTTTCTGACATGTGTAATTTTAAATAATTTTAAGGTATTTAAAAATTCTGAGTAATTTTATTTTTAAACCAGAAGTGTGTATGGGCGCATTTCTGGACTGTCATTTTAAATATTTTGCCATATGTCTTTTCTTTCTTTTCCTTCTTTTTCTTTTCCTTTTCTCTTCCTTCCCGTGCATTCACTCTCTCTCTCTCTCTCTCTCTCTCTCTTCCGTGCTCTCTCTCTCCCTCTCTCTCTCCCATTTGTGTCTCAAATCAAAACCGGATTCGAACTAAGAGTGATTTCAAAGAGTTTTCAACGACAAGAGAAGTATTCGAGGTAAGATTACTGAAAGAACCTCTCTTGAATCTTACGTCTTCGGATTTCAAAACCCATTTTTGGTTCAAACCGGATTTTTGATGATTTTGAGTAAAACTAGAGTAGAAATTGGAGATCTTAGGTTCTTTGGACTTGTTTTAGAACCTAGAACCCAGATCTAGTGGTTTCCCTTTGAAATATTTGGATTTAGGACTGGATTTGCAGGTTTTTGGACTGATTTTCGCGAGTTTCTCTCGCGCAGTCGATTCCACCGGTCGACTTGTGCGGTCGACCGGATTGCAAGCTGACCGGTCGACCGGTCCGGTCGACCGGTGTGCACATTACCGGTCGACCGGTAGTGTTGTACTGCTCTGTCACCGGCTGACCGGTGGACACGGATTTAACCCTGTTTGGCCTGAAAAGTGTTGTTTTGACCCATGTTTTCGGGGAGAACCCAAATTAGCTTCATTTGGGGACTTAGGATGAAAGGATTAACATCTTTAATCCCTGATTTGATATTAGAACCCTTGGAATGGAATTTGAAACATGAAAATGGATTAGGGCACACTAATTGAAAATCTTGGTACATAAGTGAGATTGAATTGCTTTAGGAATGAGAATTGATCCTAAAGTGTTATCTTGTATCAGTGATCGCTGAGGATTCAGACTGAAAGGGCTTGAGGAAGCGGAAGCCAGAAAATGCAACGCTAGTCCAGGTTTTGATTGTGCGAGGTAAGATTTCTATCCCTTTTCCTTGCGAGCCTGTTTTCAAAAAGGATTTTGGCCTTAAAAATGTTTTAAAAAAATGGATTGGTTGGCGAAAGTAAAATGTTTTAAAAACCATGGCTTGTTAGTTTATGGAAATCCTCAGCTTGTCCTGTCCATGGAATCCATAGCTTGTCCAGTCATGGAACCTCAGGACTTGCCCAGTCATGGGGCCCGCGGCTTGAGTAGTTCGTGGGGTCATGTGAACGATTTCATAATGTTAAATGAATGATTTTTAAGATAAGAGATCTTGCGAACTGGTAATAGAGTCTATTGCTGTAAGCCTAGATAGGATGCGGAGAGTGCATCCTCGGAAGAAGAACCCGAAACTCAGTCCGGATAGGCGAGGCACTTGGTTAGGTAAGTAATTTGTACTAATTACTTGCTGAAGCCTGTAACATGGTTATTTTCAGTTATATTTCCTTTGAGAAAAAGGATGTGAGGTTCCGGCTGTTCTGTCGGGACTGAATGTCTTATTTTATTTATGTATTTAATTATTTATTCATGCGCTCATTTATTTTAAATATTTCAAATTATATCCTACTGGGTCTTTCGCTCACGTTTTATGTTTTAAATGTTAAACCCCTCCAAGGAGACTCGATGAGCGGTGCAGGGTAGCTAGAGTTGCTACTGTTGGATCAAGTGAGGAATGAGTTTATCCTCCTCAACAAATATAAGGAATTTGAGAAATTATATAAACCTATTTAATATTGGATTTACTAAACTGTGGTTGATGTCTGTTGTAATAATTAATTACATGAGCATGTATGTACGATACTGTATGTCCTGTGGGGTGGAGCCATGTGTGTCAGAGGCTCCTGGATTATGGAATTTATTTATATTTTGATGCAGTCAAATGTGGGACCCGGTGTGGAATCTGCTTTATTAATCCCTAATCGAGCTCCACGTCACCCACCCCGTTTGGGAGGGGGGGGGGGGCGTGACAGAGTGGTATCAGAGCTTTAGGTTAAGAACCCCAGGATTGTACATACATGTGTTCCATCTTTTATCCACTGAACAGTCTAGTTTTATTTCAGTTGAAGGAAAATGGCGCCTCGCCGTAGGCTAGGCACCCAGCCAGAACAACCGAATCAAGGGTTCTTGGATGCAATGTATGCTGCCTTTCAAGGCATGGCCACTAGAGCTCGGAATGAGCGACCGGCTGAGGATCGAAAACAATGATATTTTCGGGAATTCAGGCAAGCGCCTATCCCCTTGTTTAATAGTGAGGGAGGACCCAAGGATGCAGAGTTCTGGATTGACTCTGTAGTCAAGCACTTGAGTACTATGGGAGTCCCAGATGAATACTGGGTAGAATTTGCGGTGTACAAGATGGAAGGGTTAGCAAACACTTGGTGGAAACAGGTCAAGAGGAGAATGGACGTCGTAGGATTGACCTGGGAGCAGTTTGAGACGCTGTTCAATGACCAGTATTTCCCTCAGAGTTACAGGGAAGAAAAAGCACTTGAATTCATGTCGCTGCAGCAATGTGACATGTCGGTGAGGCAATATGAGGTTAAGTTTAATGACCTGTCCCGGTTTGCGCCATCTCTGGTGGAGTCTGAACACATGAGATGTCTTAAGTTTGAGAAGGGCCTCAAGAACTCTGAGAGGAGATCCTTGGTGGCTCTAAGACTTCGAAACTTCCGGGATTTGGTAGCTGCTGCTACAAAAGTGGAACAGGATAACTTGGCCTATCGCCAAAGCAAAGAAAAAGATGCGGGTCGAGTCTCTGTCTCTGGTAAACTCTCTGTTTCAGGTGGACCACAGCGGAGTGGTAGAAGAAACCGCAACTAGGGGCAGATGGTTGGGGAAATGGCAAGCGGTGACAACAGTTCATCCGGAAGTGATAGAAATGCTCCATACGGGTCCAGGTGTCACCATTGTGGGCAGGTGGGTCCTAATCGACCGCCGGCTCAACAAGCCCAAAGTGATGCTTCGTACAGCCAAGAAGTGCCACCACAATACATGCCACCATATCAGCCGCAACAGATGCCATACCCTCATGCGCCGACTTATAGCCACCTCAGTATACACAGTTCCGGCCTCAAGCGCCGAGACCGGCACACCTGCCTCCACTACAACAGTATAGACCTCCGGCTCAGCGGCCTAATATTGGTGATAGAGGAAATGGAAAAGTACAGGGACAAGCTTATACCCTGTCAGGAAGTAGCTCTGGAGGTCAGACCAGCAACGCGGTGGTTGAGGGTGTGATCCTAATCTCTCATTCTTTTGCTCACGTGTTGTTTGATACAGGTGTCACACACTCGTTCATATCAAGCTCTTTTGTTCGGACTTTGAAACTGAAGAGTGAGAATTTAGAAGTTCCGATGACTTTGAACTCCCCACTAGGATGTGTGGAGGTAATGAGTGTGTGTAAATCATGTGAAATCACAATTGGTAGTGAGCGATTGAGAGCAGATTTGATTATCCTTCCGATGACCCTGTTTGATGTGGTACTCGGAATGGATTGGCTGTCAAGGCACGGTGCAATTATTGATTGCTACCGTAAGAAAGTGACCTTGATGACGGATTCCGGAACAGTAATTTCTTATCAGGCAGAGATGAACCTAGTCTTCAGGGAACGACTGTTGAAGTACAGCGTTAGGGGACGGAAGAATTTAGCCTGTTTCTCCTCTCTTCTTGCCTTAGAAGATGAATCTGAAGCGATCGGAGATAGTTCAGGAATCCTTGTAGTGGATGAGTTTACAGATGTATTTCCTGATAAGCTACCTGGTTTACCAACAGATCGGGAGATTGAATTCTGTATTGACTTAGTCCCGGGAACGGCACCTATTTCTATTCCTCCATACCGGATGGCTCCGGCGGAGATGAAAAAATTAAGAACGCAACTTGAGTAGTTGACAGAAAAGATATATATCCGGAATAGTACTTTCTCTTGGGGTGCACTGGTGCTATTTGTGAAAAAGCACGACAGATCTCTTCGGTTGTACATTGACTACCGTCAATTGAACAGGGTGACTGTGAAGAATAAGTACCCACTGCCGAGGATCAATGAATTGTTCGATCAGTTGGGTGGATCACAATTCTACTCTAAGATTGATATGAGATCTGGGTACAATCAGCTGAAAATCAAGGAGGAAGACATTCCGAAGACTGCTTTCAGAACTCGGTACGGGCACTTCGAGTTTCTGGTAATGCCGTTCGAGAACACCAGTTGTATGCTAAGAAGGAGAAGTGTGACTTCTGGCTGACAGAAGTGAAGTTCCTTGGGCATGTGATTTCTGGACAAGGAATTTCTGTCGATCCTTCTAAGATCGAGACTGTGCTACAGTGGGAAAGGCCGAAGAATGTAGCGGAGATTCACAATTTTCTCGAACTGGCAGGCTATTACCGGCG